ATATTAGAGAATTTACGGTACATGTTTAATCAAATTTACATATTTTTATAGAATTATAAATGTTACCAAAGCCCTGAGACATTGTGTCTCTCACCACTGGGCTCTGAGCTGTATTAATGCAGTTTTTGTTGTAAGTTTTTTTTTTTTTTGGGAGTGCAATGCGTAGGATGAGGTAAACAGAGAAATTCTGCTTCACGGCTGAGACTGAATGGTTTATTTTGCTCCAATAATGGCTGCTTCACTTCTAAATCCGTTGACATAGACTGCCTTAGCCTAATATTATAACATTATATAGATTAGTGTTTTCCCTAAAAAAGGTGAACAAAGGGGAAACAAACAGTTCCCTTAGGAGCTTGCATACATAGAATTTAAAAAAGGTTTACATTTTCACAGTCATATGTCAAGCAAAGTTAATAATGCCTTAATTTTAATCAGATGGCATACAGTATTTACTACTTATAAAAGCAACTTTTAAATAAAGCTGTTTATGTATGTCTTTATGGTTAATATTTGATAAGAATGATAAGAACAACATACATAACTCTAAAACAGGGCTAAATTTGGGACCAGCCGGACTTTCATGTAGTTTTTCTGAAAACATTTCAACAAAACTATTGGATAAAAGCTGAAGAAAAGCCAGGTTGCCTATAATTTAAGTCTGTTTTGTGGTTGCAGTGACCCGATGACTGAGAATTTTACAGGTATTTTAAAGCCATAGGCTGATTCCGAATTGTGCAACTTGTAGCTGCTAGTTCCTATTCGTAGTTCCTCTCACTTCACCTTTTGCATTAAGAACATTAAGAACACTATCGTGAGTAGTAAAGGAACTCCAGAATGCTTTAATGAAAACAGATAGCCTTTAATCTTTAACATGGAATTGTGCAACAGAAATGTAAATGGGAGAGGCTAGTAAAATAAGGAATACAGCCTTCAAGAAAAAAAAACATAAAAGAGTAAAAGTCACATTAATGAAGCAAATGGCTCAAACTCTTTTATAGAAAAGCCTAGAAAATTAGAAGGTTTGTACACTAGCATGCATCACACAGAATAAAGGTAAATACATAAGGTAACTTTGTCAAACTCTTTGAGGTGGGCTTTGGCCATACACCCCGTCACATAAAGGATTGTGGGGAAACCATATTGTTTGTTGCAGAACCCCACCCACTCGTTTGAATACAAGAAAAGAGATTAATATGAAAAAAAGGTTAAAAAAAATCAGTCACTGAAAAATATAAAGCTGTTTTACAAAATATAGTAAGTGTACAAAAAGTACACCCATTTATGAAATAAATAAATAAATAAAAAAGCTGGAATAAATACATATATAATTTTAAATAAATGAAAATAAAATTAGATAAAAATGTCTTGAAATATTTATTTATCTTTACATCCTTCTGAAACTCACTTAGTTCATAGGAGGTTTCTTACAAATTTATACTCTGTTATGATTCTGGCCTGTCTGCCTGCTCTGCTCTCCCTGTGAGCAATCATCTCCAGCTGCTGCCTGCTGCACTGCAGTGCAATCAGCAGAATGTCTCTCACCTGTGTTCAAGCAGTTATAAGACAGCCTGTGGCAGGCAGACAGGGCCAGATAACTGCAAACCAACTAGCAAGCAGTATCCAGCACTTAACCAGCACTTAAAGTTACCTGA